AGATATTTGACTAATACTTTTAATTCTAACTTATTTTTTTAAAAGTTTAAAAAAATTTTATTTTCTTATATTACTTAATAATAATAAGCTTATAAAATATTTTAATAATAATATATTATTAATTCAAATTATTATTTTTATTAAAAAAATTTAAATTAAAGATAATTAATTACTTATTTAAAAAATAATATAATATTTTACTTAAATATTAATCATAAATATTATTACTAATTTATTTTTAAATAAATTATATATAAAAAAATTTATTAAAATATTAAATTATAAAGAAATAATATTTAAAATTTTATATTTATATTATATTTTAAATTATAATTAATTTAAAAATATGAATTAGTATTAAATAATTATTTATATTTAATTAGAATTTTAATTTGAAATATATTTTAATTATTATTTAAAATAAATTATAATTTTAATATAATATTTATATTTATTAATACAATAAAAAAATTAAAAAGTAAAAATAATAAATAAATAATAAAAATAATATATATGAAAAAATTAAATAAAATATATTTTAATAAAAAAATAATAAAAATATATAAAATTAATATTTTTATATTAATATTATAATAAAAAAGTATTTATTATTATTTTATTATTTATAATTTAAAATTAAATAATTAATAATATAAGTATAATTCTTATTTTAATTAAATATAATAAATATTTAAATAAAATGAAAAATCTATAAATAATAAATAGGATTAATACTAAATTAAATAAATTAATTTAATAAAAAGTCTATAAATAATATATATTAAATCAGATAATTTTTTCAAATTAATATTAAAAAATATAGTTAAATAACTTTTTAAAAGATAAATCAATTAAATTTCAAGATTAATATATAATAAAAATTTAAAAATAAAAGTAAAAAAATATAAAATAATTTGTATTTCAAAATTTTAATTAAGAAGTTATCTTTTATATTCTAATAAAAAATATTTCTTGTAAAATTTCACTATTAATATAATAATTTAAGCAAATAATACAAATTTTTTGTATATTATATAATTCTAATACTGATTTTAATTAAAATTTTTATATTTTTTATAATTATATCACAAGATATTAATATTTTGATTATAATTAAAATTAGGATTAGGATTAAGATTAAAATTATATTACATATAGATATTTAAATAAATTTTGCAAGAAATATTTTTTGTTAAAACATAGCAAGTAAAATTTCAAGATACAAGTTATTTTTAGAATTTTTCAAGTTTGATCAATTTATCTCTTTAATCTGCATCTATCAAATTATAAATATCGGTACTGGCCTGGAAAGATCACCTGATTTAGCACAGACTTTTCGTCGATGAAAATTGCTGAATCAGGTGATTTTTTCGGCACTGACCCGGAAAATCACCTGATTTTGCACTTTTCCAGGCTTCCCGGTAAAAAAAATATAACATTATGGTTAGGATTAGGATTAGGATTAGAGTCAGAATAAAAAATATATCAGATTCAACAAATATGAAAATTCGCAAGAAATATTTTTTTTGTTATGCATAGAAATAGGCAAAATTTCGAGATACAACCTATTTTTCAAATAAACGTTTTTTCTGGTTACCACCGATTATAAATTTCGGCACTACCCGGAAAGATCACTTGATTCAGCACTGTCCCTACTATAAAAACCAGTGATTTATTTGATATTTGATATAATAAAGCTTGATTTACTTCAAAAACCTCAAATTAAACTTTGAAGTGATATCAAAGTGTAAAGAACGGAGACATGTTCGAGCTCCTGAAATGATTGATGAATTTTAGCTTTGAAATGCACTCAAATAAGAAAACCATTTTATCTTGTTCCATTATTTAAGATCAATTTAATTGGCGTACATATTAAAAAAAATTCGTACATTTACTGTCTAAAGCACATTATCGTTATAGCCGATTCCCTTAATCATTTTCTTTTAAACATTGCACATGATGTTTGGCGTTCTCCAAAGTTGAATATCTTGTATGTATTCGGGTTCAGGCGTTGTCTTCAAGTTCAAACAGCATCTATGTGATTTAGTTGATCATAGTGTGAATGACATGATTTTCAAGAGTTCCCAGTTTCATTAGTTTCATTTATTAAAGTTTCATGTGAAAGCTGGTCAACAAAAGATTATTAAAGAAAAAAATAGATCTTTAAATCTAATTTGCGATAATACTTTAACAAAAATAAATTGATAAAGCTTTTGGTCGAATTGCATCTTTGTTTACTATAATTTGTGTGGCATTGATATTTATTTAAACATATATGGAGGTCTAAATCAAAACTTTTCAGTTTTATTAGTGTTTGGCACTCTCTTGGCAGCTTCTTTAACACCCTGACTTTCACCAACAATAATAGAAATACCATGCTAACATACATGTAGATAGATTATGTCAGCAATGACATAATAAGAAAATGAACGAACAAAATCTGACCTTGATAGTATCAGTCATCTTCCCCATAAAATTGGTAAAGAGATTCTGTTCTTCTTTTCCGTGCTGATGTCGTCCAGGCAACATTGTCAATTCTGCCATTTCAGGCACAACACTTTCAATTGACCCATCATTTAAAGATTTGCGATGTTGTTCTTGTTGTCTTAATGTAGTAGCTAAAAGCGATTTTCGCCATTCATTATTTTAAAAAAGAAAGAAAAGATGTACTGTCGTTACAGCGTCTAACCGGTTTTTGCGAAAGCTCCCACATTTCCCATTGCAGAAGAGCCTTTATCTGTCAATTCTGCTTTAAATTCTTCATTATCTTTTTTATTAGTATTGTCATTTCTATTGTCACCGTTGCTTTTGGAATTATTCTCAGTCATTCTTTAATAAGATGAAGAAAAAATCAAAGGCATCAACTTGAACAAAATAATACATTTTATTTTTTTATATTGTAAAGAAATATATCATACAAATGAAAATGATGATATATTATTATTACACACGAATAACACAATGTCGTAATTAATATTGATGAAAATAAAAGTTCATTTCCCCTGTCTTATTTCAAAATCACTCGCTAAAAACTGATCGGGTAGGCCGGGGGGCGGCGTCAGCTCAAAAACGAAGCCAGACGGCCGCCCATATGACCCCTTAAAAATTATGTGCGCAAAATCTCTTGATGACGATTCTGCACGATCGTAAGATCGTGTGGCATTTTAACAGAAATTGTTTGCCACGCACCCTTTTTAAAGAAAAGGGTTTAGGTTTCGTCATCCGATCTTCTAAATATTTATAATATATTAATATTAAATTGTGGGATATTTGTGTTACACATGTGAATAATATAACGTAAGCCAACTTTGTATAATTCTCTGACTATTTTATGCCCATTGAAGTGATTATTATTGGACATTGAGTTTTTATTTACCGAAAAAATAATCTCCCCCCCCCCCCCAATTGTTTTGGATGTCATTTGCTATGTGAAATTAGCCTCGAAAATAAGCTACCACCCCCAATTGTTCGAGCTTAAAATCGTGCAAAAAAAAAGGATAGCTTATTTTCGGACTTTTATAGATATAGCAACCCAGTCTTCGCTAGGACATATAATACAAACAAAAAAAAAGGGACTTTATATCTAATTGCTGTTGCTGACAATTTTCCTTGGTCCCTCTTCATGCAATCATTACCGGCTACGAATTCTTTTCATTATAATATCATCGCGAAGGCGTGTATCGCGCGTTGTGAATCTTTTGTACTTTCTGCGCTTCCGTCATGGATGAGACGATCAAGGAGGTGATAGACTCGTATCTCCTTCCATATTGGTGGAAAAACATTTCCCGATAGTCTACGGGTTAACTCCAAGGGAGAAATAGCCAGATAAAAGTTCAGCATCTGAAATATATGCTCTTGACAGATAAACCTGAATAACAGCTAATCCCGCTGAATACACTTCCTTATCAGGCTGAATAGGTGAACGTTCTTATCTCAGTTATTTTCTTATCCTTAGCTGTTAATTCGCTATTACTATCGGGCCTTTGTGATTCATCCCTAGTTCAACAGCGGAGGAAACAGGGAAGACGACTCGCTTGCACGCGAGATTTAGGGTAGGGAGTCCGAGGAGGAAAAAATTTTAACGTAAGTGAATTTTATAGAAATTTTATGAGAGTAACAAAAGCACGTGTCAGTCAGTCACTTGATCTGGTTATTATACCATATTCTAGTAATGCAAGATGACGTTTATAGCATAATATGCTATACGTATTTAGAAATTACGATAACAGAGCCGAGTAACAATGATGATTGTTTGTGCGTTGTCTTCCATATTCGATAAAGTTGCAAGTTTTAAACTTAAACGATTATTATATCTAGAATTAGGAAATATATGCAATGTTAAAAATGTCAATAATGTTAAATATCGATTATACGCGCACAGAACAATGCAACACAAAAAACGTCGAAAAAAAAATAAAATGCGTTCATTTCACACAAATTGGACACCGCCTATGAGTATATATCTCAATAATCAATCAAATATCGTTAACTGCAAAAGGTAATTGGTAAAATTTCAAAATGAAAAATGCACCAATATAAAATATTAAACTATATGATCGCGATATACGATTGGTGGTTTAAAAGTGTGTCACGGAGAGTGAATATGCTGGCTCAAACTCTATTGTGATTTTTTTTAATCAATTATTTATTATCACATCCTAATTTTCACATAATTACTCAATTGTTTAATTTTTTTACTTTTCCCCATCAGCGTATGGCAATTTCGTGAAAAAAGATGTCCAGATTACCAAAGTTACCAGTACCGAGTAGTTTACCTACTTCTGGTCTTACTCCTCCAAAAAAACGAACTACCTCTAATGCTTCGCCGTTGTCTACTGTGGATACAACTGCTAATACAACAACCACTAAAATTGCCGGTCTCAAAGACCTTACTCCTGAACAGGAAGCTTTGCTACAGGAAGCAATGGAAAAGTTTAATCCGGAAGCAAACACAAACACTTCTACTTCTTCTCCCTCTACAACAATATCCTCACTCCCTACTATACCAACACCAACAACCGCCACGTCAAATGGAATAAATGGCTCTCCAAACTCGAATCAATTACGCAAGCCTGGTTCCAGAAAGCAAAGCGTATCTAGAGTTACTCGTCCTGTTCTGCCTTCTGTTTCTGACATGCCCCCTTTGCCCACAATACCACAAGCAGTCAATAAATCAAATACAAATCAAGGGACACGAAAATTATCCTTTGGTCAACATTCTTCATCGACAGGACTTGCCCCTCCCGGTTCGTCTTTACAAATGCGTCCACCAACAACAACTCAAACTTCATTAGCTCAACCTTCACTAACACAATCTTCATTGACACCACCCTCTGCATTGACACAACCTGCATCTTTATTAAAAAATAATCGTATACAGGCACTTGCAGCAGCTTCTCAAAGACCTGCTTCTCCTTCACTAGGATTATATAGTGTTGGTGAACGTGTTTCTGTAGAGTCAATGAATATCACCGGAACTTTAAAGTTCTTGGGTTCAATTGGTGGGAAATCAGGAACATGGGCTGGAATAGAGTTAGATGTTCCAGGCACAGGTAAAAACGATGGAAGCGCTAATGGGTGAGTATTCTAACATTAAATCCGTAAATCGTATTTCTTGATAATAACGTGTGCGTTTTATTTAGTGTCTCGTATTTTACATGTCCACCAAAAACCGGCATATTTGTTCTTGCTACTAAACTCTCCAAAGAAAAAGAAGATTCAGAAACCCCCACAACAACATCATCAACGACAACTTTGACACCATTATCATCATCATCTCCACTTAATAAAAATACTCTTTCAATACCCTCAATACCGCAACCATCACAATCAAATACGAACGTGACTCCAAATGAGTCCAGAATTGCATCTAAAAATGCACAACATGCCGCAGTGGCTGCTTCTCGTATATCAGCAGGATCACGAGCATCCAAATATATTGGTGTTACGGCTTCACAGTTAAAACAGAAATCCTTAATAAAACCAGCTAGCTTCACTCAAGCAATCCCAAATCCTAGCCCAGACCCAAGCAATCGTGGTCCTTCTCCACCCTCTAAATTAAAATTTGGACTACCTCGTCCTAACGCAAGTAATCTTAAATCACCTTTAACCTCACCAGTTAATGTTAGACGAACACGAAGACGAGATTCCAATTCTTCGAACGGATCGGTAGCTTCGGTTGTATCCCAACCTACACTTCAGGTTTCATCCTTTGGGTTCCAGCGATCGTCAAGAGCCACAACTCCGAATGAACAGCAGGAATTGCAAACACCATCATCAGACAGTGAAACCACCCTGACGAATATCGAATTGACAAATAAATCCTTGCAAGAAAAGATTGAGAAACTATTGAATGGTTCAGATGCATCAGATGCACCTCCATTGAATGTGTTTGATCAACAAATGCTTCGCATTCAACAATTACAAATGAAAATTGATGTCTTAGAATCAGAAAATAGCGCACTAAAACTCAATAATAAAAACTTGACCTCGTCAACTCCGTCTTCTGATGAATCGAATGCTGTATGGATAGCGGAAAAGAATGCATTAAATGACAAAATCAATCAGCTAACTAAGCAGCTTGAAGAGAGTTCAAAAGGTCATCATCATCGTCCAAGCACTTCACTCTCAATGCTAGCTGATGAAGATTTAATGAATGACAAGATTCTGCAGTTAACTGAATTAATTGAAACTAAAGAGGCAGCTGTGAAATCCCTTGAACAATCGCTCAATACATATCAATCTAGGATAACAGAATTAGAACTAGCCAATAAAGAACAAGAAGCTAAGATTCAAGAATTAAACAATAGTAATAATAAAGACAGAGACAAAGACGAGAATACAGCTCTTGAAGATTCTTCAAAAAGAATCGCCGAATTAGAAAAAGGGATCGATGCAAAAGCTCTTGAAATCAGTCAACTTGTGATGAAACTCGATCAAACACAGCTTGATTCAGAATCAAAAATCAGATCTTTGCAAACAACAGTGGATCAATTCAAAGCGGCCGGACAAGAGACTATAAATATATACGAGGATAAAGTTTCTACCTTATCACAACAAATTGAAGAGTTGAAAAGAACAAGTAGTGAAACAAGAGCTCTTTATAGTGAAACAAAAGCTCTTTATGAAGAAGCCACAGCAAAATTAGGGGAACGAGAGAATAAGATTACCACCTTAGAAAAAGAAACTGAAGAACTTCGATCGGCTGGTGTCGAGGCAATTGATGTGTATGAAAAGACAATGGAAGATTTAAAGAAGGAGATGGAAGAAGTAAAGCAACAATTATCACGAAAAGATGAAGCATTGACAGCATCTCGTAAGGAACTTGAAAGCTTGAGGTCGGCACAAAAAGAGTTGAATGAAGCCAAGACAAAATTAGAGCAAAAAGATAAACGGGAAGAAGGTCTACGAAATGAACTTGCAGATCTCCAAACCGGATTGGAGCATATGATGCGTGCTGATGCGAAATCACGAGAAAGAATATATCAGTTAGAAGACGAAATGCGTGAATCTCAAGCTACTGTCAATAGACAATTAGAAGAAATTAGCGCCTTGAAATTAAACATACAGGAATTAATGAACACAAATTCCACCGATGAAATTGAAAAAGTGAAAACAATGTACGAGATGGAAATCAAAAGAATGGGTGAAGAATTGGAAAGCTCGCGGAAATCTTTGTCTGATGTCCAGACCGAGAAACGAGTCGCAATGAGTGAAGCGGAGGGATTAAAAGACCAACAAACATTGCTGGAAAAGAGAGTACAAGATAACGAACAGAAAAGAAAAGAATTGGAAGAGGAATTTAATAACTTGCAAAATCGCCTCAAAGATAAAGAGGATGAAAATGATAAGCTATTGAAAGAATTAGAAGAATCAAAACTCAACACTAAAGAACTTGAGGAAACAAATAAGAACGTAATTCATCGAACAGAAGATGAAAAAGAAAAATTGAAAAAAGAAGTGAACGATTTACGCGCAAATATTCGCGAGCGTGAAGAAGCCAATAAAGTAGCAATGCGTCAAGCTGATCAAGAAAAAGAAGAGTTAGCAAAAGAGCTAAGAACCATAAAATTCCAACTTAACGAGCTTGAAGCTTCGAATAAGGATGCAACCCAACAATTTGATATTGAAAAAGCAGCTTTGATTGAAGCTCGAAACGTAGCTTTGAAGGATCTTGAAGAAATCAAGGAAAAATTACATGAACTTTCAGTTAAAGCCAGCCAATCGGAAGAGCTTAAGGCATCACTTGCAAGCAAATCTGAAGAATTGAAAAAATTAACAGAATTAAAGATGATTGCAGAAATTGAAAACAAAAATTTCGAAAACGAAAATGAACAATTAAAACAGAAAATAAAAGAGTTAGCAATCAATTCGAAATCATCTGATTCAACTCCACCCGCAAAATCTCAAGAAGTCATTGATAAAATTACCGCATACGAAGAACAAATAACTGGTCTCAAACAAATTGTACACGAATTGACTCGTGAGAATATTGAAATTGATCGCGAAAATAAAAAAATGTTGGCAGAACATGAAAAACTTGCGGAAGCTCATAAGCAAGTAGAGAATGAATGTTTCAAATTGATGGATGAGTTGGAAAGATTGCATAGCGAATCATTGAGTGGTCAAGGCATTTTGGCCGTACCTGCAGTGGTCTCTGCTGAATTTCCTTCCAGTCCAGAGACACCACGTGATGATCCTTCCGAAGAGAATTCGGTTGAAGAAGATGGAACTGACACTACACCCACTTCACCGCAAACTGCTACCAATACAAATACACCAACCGGTACAACAAATGTAACACGTCTAGAATCTTTACTTGCTGAAAAACAAACGCAATTAGATCGATTGACCTCACTTCATAATTCCGAAATACGTGAATTACGTCAAAAAATAGCTGAACTCGAAAAATCCAAACAACGTGAGCTCACAACTCTAACAAAAGATGTGGCTGAATTGGAATCTTTGGTAGAAAGTAAAATATTTCGTGAAGCTGATTTAGAAGAAGAAATTCAACGTGAACGTCTTGTATCTAAACGATTACGAGACGAAATAGAAGATTTAAAAGAGCAAATAAAAGAAATAAGAGCAATGGGAGGTGATGAACTTTCTCTCAATCTAGGCATATCTATAAGTAGTAACGATAATTCGCCGAAACGCACAGTAAATGAGGATATTTCAGAGAAGGGATCCTCTCGACTTTATTGCGAAATTTGCGAGGAAGAAGGACATGACATAATTAGTTGTAAAGCTGTATTCGGAATGGAAGCCAGTACCCTCGGTAATGGTGCCACACCTTTACCAATAGTGGCAAGTAATGGAAATATTGAAGAGGAAAGACCGGTAAGCTAAAAATATTTTCATTATATTTTACTATAATTTATTATTTTCTGCTACCCTCTTCCAACGGAACATTTCTATCTCTATTTATTGCTATCTATTTTTGTGACTACATCGTATACAACAGTATAATTTCTTTTAGTTGGATCATCAATTTTAATGACATCTCTGTTTTTCTCGCAACACCCAAACACACACACACACACACACATGCACACGATAGTACTGCGAAAATTGTGAAGAGTTTGATCTTCATTGGACTGATGATTGTCCAAATCAAAACGAAACCTTTTAATGATTGATTCATTCTTTTACGAAAATCAGGTATTATTATCCTAAAGTTAATAATAATTATCAAGTAAACAATTTTTTCTTTCCTTTTTTGAAATGTCATTTATATATATATATAATTACATATAATAATCGTGTTATTTATTTGTAACCTCTCTCGACTATTTTGAATCTAAAATATTCCGTTTTCATTTTTGGCATATTAACAACTCCCACACATCATATGTAAATTTTTTCTTAATTTATTAGTATCAATTTTTAATATTTTTCTTTTCATAGATAGATTTATTATATATTATTAATATTGTACAGGCTATTGATTTGATTTAATGTAATAAAAAGCGTGTAATATTTATAAAACTCTCCATCTTTAAATTATGCTGTTTATGAAAAGCATTAATCAATTTTTCTATAATGGCATCAAAACTGTTTTCTAGGTATTTTCTTCTCTAGAATAATTGACTCACAATGTAATAAGAAAATCTATCAGCATTATTCATTCTTTAAAATGATCTGCGAGATCCGTGATACATACGGTATCACTCCAAGAACCCAAGAGATCTGCCATTCCTTTTGTTTTCCAGACTTTCCTAACAACACAATCCTTACATACTGATTGTAAACCATCCACCAGTAGCTTCCCGATGCGGTTAATATATGCCACCAGCCGTGCAATTCCAAAATATGAGCCAGCGGTTTCCCTATCAGCGTTCTAGCCTCACGTAGTTGTGCACAAGCGATGTTATCCACATTCCATAACAGGAAACCGGTTCCAAACAATATCGCTGCACCAAATAACAAAAATTTTAATTGGTTACGCAAGCTCACGTTTTCTATTTGTTGCAGTAGGTAGACGGAGCGAAAATGGAGTGCCGATACAAGAAAAGCGTATGCGACTTGATGGAATACTGGTTCTTGGTTGTATAAGTAAAGTGCGGTGACTGTTGCGGCGTATGTGAATAGTGTGAATGGAATTAGGGATCCGTATTTCGGTTTTTCATATATTTCGTAACTATATTAATATAAAAAAAATGATTTTTATTTTCATGGATAATTTTCAATCCAACATAAGGATACCTACATATTATATAATAATACTGAAGTGGCGTAGAGCACTAGAAGATATGAGGCGAAGTAAGAGAATTATTATATTTGAATGCTTAAGATCAATCGTTTGCGATGCACAAAGGCTTACTTGGAAGTTCATCAAGCAATTGAAATTCAAACCATAATGTCATATGAAAAAACCAAGAGCCTATTCCGATTGAACATAATGCAAGATGTGCCACTACATATCGTGTGCCAAGGTTGTATTTAACAGTTGTGTAAATTCCAAATATTGAGAGGAGCACTGCTTATTTATAATAATAATTAGTAAAAAGAAAGTTTTTCATTTGTAAAAGGATTAATCAATAACTTGCCAAAAATTAAATTGGTAGTGCTATTTATGAATTCGGCAAAATATTCATGGGTTTTATAGTTTTCCTGGGAAATAAATGAAATTGTGGACATTTACTAATTTATTTTGTTCTTTAAAAACTATATGCAGAAATCAGAATTTTAAGAAGTAAAATACTGCGTTTTACTCACTTCACACCAATCTAATGTCGAAGTCCTATAAAAATGTATATATTTAGTATTGAATAAAAAAAAATACACTTTCCACTCATAAAATGAATGTAAACTAGTACCCTTGACCCCAATAAGGAGCCTTAATTGTGACATTGCTCTCAGCATTGGTTGTATTGGTTGTTTCCGCCATAATAAAAGAGAATAGATCTTATCATAAAATTAAAATTTAATCTTTCCCACGTTGCTTTTTTATAGAAATTATCCATTTCTTAAAAAAGAAAAATCATTATATTACGTGAGAATATGGGATCTTCAATTAACTACCAGAAGGGGCCAAAGCTATCATGAGGATTAGGGTTAGGATTAGAACGATTTATCCCCGACATTTTCGATTATAACCCCACGATAGTCCCATTTTTTAAAAATTAAACATTCTTAATTTATTGTTGCATCTAAACCATCTAAACCTGTTAAATTGCGTCATAGAAGCCTAAAAAAAGAACTACCCCCAAAAAAAGGGGCACCCCGACGATCATGATAAGAATAGTATATTACAAAGACTAATTAAACTTTCATCAAAGTATAATTGTAATTAAACACTCGCTGACTTGATATAGAATACTTTAAAGGAAGTCAACCGTAATAAATATTTGCGTGTAAATACAAATCATTGTTGGTTCCTGTTCAGTTATATAACTGTAGTTTACTGGTGGCTGGGATTCGTTATTTCAAGATATCCAATTTACCGAATTCCCTAAATATATAATGAATTCCAGTAGAAAATATGGCACGTGCACCCGAGTTTCAAATATTGAACTTTTATTCATTATATTTATTAGATCTAATTTTAGCTGAAAATATTTTTTGTTACATATCAAATATATGTTGCAAGTTACTTATCCTGTAGAAAATTAATTCTGATCATAATTCAAAAGTCTGCTTTTTTTGTTTTTTGTAAATAATCTTCTTTTTTAGTTTAATAAAAATAAATTTTGTTATATTTCAATAAAGCTTATTTCTTTTTAAATTAAAAAAATGGATTTTTGTATAAAATTCTGATAGAAAATTATTTTTAATCTGATAAAATGAATTTTAATTAGATTTATAATTTCAAAATTAGAATATTATAATATTTAGAAATAATGCAAATTTTAATAAAAAATAACTTTTATTTCTTATTATAGTAATAACTAATCACCTATTCGTGTGGCGCGGCACAGTATACAGTCAAACCTCGTTGTACTGATACTTTCGTTCCGCCAAAAATTTATCGGTATAACGGGGTATCAGTAGATCGGGGTTTTTTTAAATACCAATAATATGTGAGTGATACGCAAAATATCGACATGTCAAGCTTTATTATTTACTTGTATAGATTAATCATTGCGAATAAAATTATCAATAGATGTTTGCTTTTTCTTTGAGATAGAGTAAGTCAACAAATCACTTTTTAAACTCTGAATTTTAAAAAGTATACTTCTATCATAAGTAAACTCAGCGGGTGGGTTGGAAAGAAACTCAGACAATACCTGTAAACTTTCTAAAGCAGACTTAACACTTACAGTAGGATGAATGATTGGTTTTTCAATTTCGTCTTCCTCTAAGAAAGAATGATTTATCATAGATACTATCTCATCATCATTTATATTTCTCCCTTCTATTTCTTTATCAATGTTCATATATTGCTCTGCTGATATTGAGTTTTCCCAGCCTAGATGATTAATAAAAGATTGTAGATTATTCATTTCTAACTCAATAATATCATTGATGTTCAATTCATTAACAGTTGACATTTCAATATCAGGTGATAAGATGCCAGTTTTTCTTCAGCAATTCTTAATGGTAGTTTCCATAACAGCACTTCATGCCTTGACACAATAAGTTATAGTATCAAGAATATTAATAGGAATAATATTTGAGTTGAATTCACGAGAAAGATCATATGAATCAGCGATATGTTGCATAAGTAATTGATGATAGTGTGCCTACACAAAGTAAAAGTTTTAGTTCAATTCAAGTGACAAATCAAATGGCATTTATACCTGCCTTAAAGGATTTAATGATGCTGGTATCACATGGTTGTAAATGAGATATAGTGTTAGGGGGGAGAGAGTGAATAGTAATATTAGTCAATTGACTAGGCTCCAGGATCGTATGTATCAGTACATTATCTATAAGTAAAAGAATATGATATTGTTAATATTGCATTTGAAGATTTAGTTTTTTGAGATAATCTTCCCAAATGGAGACTTGCATCCATGCCATCTTGTTCTAATAATATTCAACAGATAACTTGTTCTTATCGATTTTATTAAGGGATCATGAAGTCTTATAACGATGTATGAGTAAAGGTTTAAGTTTCTCAGTACCTAATGTATTGCAATAAAGAAGAATTATTATATGATTTTTTGATTTTTTGATACTGACAACAGGATTTAATGTTAATGTTCTTGATGGTTCTAACTGCTAGTATAATGCTATAATACATGTCAGATAAAGAAATAAAAATATGGAAAATGAAAGTTCAGATACAAACCAGTTTCATCATAGTTGAAAATGTCATGCTTATCGTATTCACAAAGTACTTCATGGAGCTTAATACGCTCTTGATCTAGTCTCTCTAATGGAGCACTATTTCCCTCACCTGATTTTACATAAGACTGAATATGATATCTAGACTTATAATGATTGAGCCATCTATTGAAACCACCAAATTTCTCAACTCCTAAAAGACTAGCAAAATGTTTTGCCTTTTGCTTAAGAAGATCAATAGTAATGGTAATATTGTCATGAATGGCGTGTATAAACCATATTGTTAATGCCTCTTCAACCTCAGGATGTAATGGTTTGCATTCTCTTTTTCTTTTTGATAAAATTTCATCATCATTAATGACCAATCACCTGTCTCGTTTATTCCATATATCTGAAACTGTACTTTATCTAATCCTGTATTGATTTGCAACATCAGTTTGATTTGGAGCAGGCTTTTGAGAAAGTAAAGTACATATTTCTTTCCTCTGTGCATTGGTTAATATAACTCGTTGTCCCTTACTATTTCCTTTTTTCTTGAGTTTTGCGTTAATATTAAGCTGTGACATTTTTGCGTTCAACATTCACACCAGAATCGATAAAATATAGAAAGATCAACCAATCATAATGCTTAATGCCATTCCCAATTTAGTAACTGTTACACAAATATCGGTAGAGCGGGGTGAGATTTAATAGTAAATGGCAATGATGTATCAGTATAAAGGTTATAACGGGGTTTATTATAATTTATCAGTATAACGGGGAAAATTTTTTATCTAAATTTTGGGAGTGACGTTTTCCATCATTATATCGAGGTTATCGGTATAGCGGGTATCGGTACAACGAGGTTTAACTGTATAGCGTAGCCATAGCACGTGGCGCAGTAGATGTGGTGTGTAATGATCAAATATAATAAAACTGAATTTATTAATAAAACATAATAAAAATTAAAATTTTCTTTTAATAATTTATTAATAATTGTTTTTTATTTTTATATTAAAATAAAGTTTATAATTTATATTTTAATATATATTTTTGAACTTAATTATATATTATATTTATATAATATAATAAAATATATTATACTATTTTAATTATTCAATTAAAAAATTTATTTAAAATATTTAATAATAAGTATAATCAATTATTATAATATATATATTACTATCATTTAGTTTCTTCTTTATATTATATTTTTATACTAATTTTATTAATATAATTTGCTATTTTAAATAAATAATAGCTTTTTTCTAGTATTATTATATTAATTATTATTTTATTATTTATTTTTATAGATATTTTACAGATTTATTAGACTAATTTCTGATAATGTAAGTTTTATTTTATTATTTAATAATTTATTATTTTTATTAATTATAATTTATAAGAAATTTTATTTTTTTTGACTAATTTTTATCTATTTCTTTTTATTTCTTGAATATTAAAAGTTAATTAATGCAAATTTATTCTGACTTTATATTTTTTTGATTTGTTATTTCTATTAATTATAATTAATAAAAAATTTTAACTAGTTATTTATTATTTTTTACTTCTTATTATTTTTTGAATATTAAGAATTAATTATTATAATCCAGTGCAAAAATATAAATACATAAACATACTATATATAAATTTTTTTAAAAGTAAAGTATTTATAATTTTAATTATTTAAATATAATTATATGCTATTTAAGAATATTTTTTAATAT